ATATATATATATATATATATATATATATATATATATATATATATATACATATATATATATATATATATGTGTGTGTGTGTGTGTGTGTGTGTGTGTGTGTGTCTTTCTCTTTCTCTATCTGTCTCTGTCTGTCTCTGTCTCTGTCTCCTTCTGTCTCCTCCAGTCCCTTTCTGTTTTCTTCTCTGTCTCTATCTGTCTCCTCTGTCTCTTTCTGTCTCCTTCTGTCTCTGTGTGTATGTTTAAAGGAACAAGACAGCAGCATAATGTGTCTCCTTCAGCAGCAGCAGCAGCAGCAGCAACAGCAGCAGCAGCAGCAACAGCAGCAGCAGCAGCAGCAACTCACAGCAAAAGGAGGGGGGGCCCCCCTGCACTGCCTCTCCAGCAGCAGCAGATCTGTCTCTCCCCTCACCACGACCCCACACGGCTGTGTCAGGGGGGCCCCTGTACCCTGGGGGCCCCCCTCTCCCTGGGGGCCCCCCTCTCCCTGGGGGCCCCCCTCTCCCTGGGGGCCGCCCCCCCCCGCCTGAGGGTACTGTATACCCTCCAGAGCAGCAACACGAAACACAAAAGCAAACGCATGCACTGTCTCTCTCCCCCCGCACCCAAACAAACCATCCCCTGCATGCCAATGGCACAGGGGGCCCCCCCCCCTGCCCCCCACAGACCTCTCCAGTACCCTCAATGGGGGGCCCCCCCGGGGCCCTGGGGGCCCCGGGGGCCCCGGGGGCCCCGGGGGGCCCTGTCTCTCTGCTTGTGAGGGTGTTTGTGAGACAGGAGAGAGAGGGGGCCCCGGGGGCCCCTGTGCTGACATTTCTTGAGTTTTGTTGCTGTCTCCTGTTGTCTCTGTGGGGGGCCCCCCAGGGGCCCTGGGGGCCCCGGGCCCCCCGGGGGCCCCTGGGGGACCCGGGGGCCCCTGGGGCCCCTCTAAGAAGAGGGGCCCCCAGTGAGGGTTGTTGTTTTCCTTGAGGAGGAGACGAGAAGAGAGACGGAGACAGCGGGGGGCCCCCCATCTATGTGTCTCTGCATGCTCTATCTCATGTAAAGAGAGACAGCAGGAACACCCCACACTTTGTGTCTTGTTGTCAACATGCATGCATGCACTCCTGCTGCTGCTGCTGCTGCTGCTGCTGCTGCTGCTGCTGCTGGTGCTGCTGCTGCAGGTGCAGCAGCAGCAGCAAGGGGCCCCATAACGATAGGGGCCCCTTAATACAATTATAATATCACCCACAGAGAGGAGACGGGGGACGGCAAAAAAATCCTTGAGGGCCCCCTGAGGGTCCTCTGCTGCTCCGTACCCTGCTGAGCTGGGGGCCCCCCATGGGGGGGCCCCCCAGAGGGGCCCCCCTTGGGGGCCCCTCATGGGGGCCCCCAGGGGCCCCCATGAATCTATATAAGGAGGAGACAGCTGCTGCAAGCGACAGAGACGAGCCAAAGGTAAACACCGAAAAGGAGGAGGGAGAGGAGAGGGGACAGCTGCAGCTGCTGCACAAAAAAAACAGCAGCAGCAGCAGCAGCAGCAGCAGCAGCAGCAGATGCAGCAGCAGCAGCAGCAGAAGTAAAAGCTGTTGCAGCAGGGATGCAGATACAACAGCAGCAGCAACTGCAACAACAACAACACCAACAACAGCAGCAACACCATCAACAGCAGGAGCAACAGCAACAGCAGCAGCAGCAGCAACAGCAGCAGCAGCAGCAGCAGCAGCAGCAGCAGGCCTTTCTGTTTACCTTTTTGTATATCATCCGCCGCCCAAATATCTACTTCTCCTTCTCCCCCCCCCAAACCCAAACTCAACAAAACACAACCAGGAAAAAACACACAAGGCAACGCAGGGGGCCCCCCAGGGGGCCCCCCAGGGGGGCCCCCCGGGGGCCCCCCATTCACATCCTCAGGGGGCCCCCCGGGGGCCCCCCCAAGTGGACCCTCACTAACATCATTAGGGGGCCCCCCAGGGGGCCCCCCATTGACATCTGCTGGGGGCCCCCTAGGGGGCCCCTCACCAGCATCCTCGGGGGGCCCCCCAGGGGGGACCCCAGAAACATTTTCAGGGGGCCCCCCTGGGGTCTCCTTATAAACGTTATCAGGGGGGCCCCCCGGGGGCCCCCCTGGGGGCCCCCCAGGCTCAAGGGGCGCATCGGGGGGCCCCCCAGGGGCCCCGTACCCGTTTGGTTCCCCCAGAGGGGCCCCCTGGGGGGCCCCCCTGGGGGCCCCCCTGATATAATTGTTTGATGAGAGAGCAGCAGGAGGTCCAGAGACACGGGGCCCCTTCTCTTCCTCTGCAGCAGCAACAGGAGAGGGGGGCCCCCCTGGGGGGCCCCCCTTCAATGTGGGGGCCCCCCTAGCTGGTGGTATTGCGAGGGCCCTAAGCCAGCAGCGGCAGGGGCCCCCCAAGGCGCTCTCCGGTTGAGAGGGTATTGATAGTAGCCTCAGCAGACGGCGGGGGCCCCCCTGGGGGCCCCCCTGGCGGCCCCCCCGGGGGGCCCCCTGGGGGGCCCCCAGGGGGGCCCCCCGAGGAGCAACCCATACCCAGGTATTGGGGGTTAAACCTAGAGAAGGTAGAGATGAATCGAAACACACACATTCAGAGTTTGTATCCCGCAGCAAACATGCATCTGCTGCTGCTGCTGCTGCTGCTGCTGCTGCTGTTGCTGCTGTTGCTGCTGCTGATGAGGAGGAGGAGGAGGGGGAGCTGTTAGGGCGGCATAGAGATGTGAAGGAAGTGCTTATGGGGTACCTGCAACACACAAACCCTAAACCCTAAACCCTAAACCCTAAACCCTAAGCAGAAGAGGAGACGCAGCTGTTCCCGCCACAACAGAGCCCCAGACTCTCTGAAACATTTATATTGAAGATATGAATGGGTGTGTTGGGAGGAAGACAAGGGTTTAGGGTTTAGGGTTTAGGGTTTAGGGTTTAGGGTTTAGGGTTTAGGGTTTACAGCAGTCTCAGGGCCCTCGCCCGCCTTCTGCCGCTAGGGGCCTCCATCAGCACAAAGACAAAACAGAAGAGGGTTTATAAAAATATAAAAAACAAAAAAAAAAC